CATTTTGGAAGTGAAAAAGTCAATACATCAGATAATCCCTAGAGCTAATTAAATTGATCTAATACCTCTCACTTTGTCCCAAAAAGTTTAATCTATAATTTGCTCAGCTCCTTCAAACCAAACAATTAGGCACCAAATAATATTATAAATGCAACTCTAGTGAGTCATGTGTGACTTAGCTTGGACAAGTTGGATAAGACAATTTTTTGGGACACACTAGGAGAGATTATATATAGAGTAAAATAAAATAAGAAAATGATGGAAATTTATAAGTAGCTAGTAATTAATTTAGTATGAAAAGTATAATTGTCTACAACCTTAACTATGCAATTATGAGTGATACATATGAATATACTATCTTTTTTAGTTTATATTACCAATGTAATTCCCAATTCACTGTTTTTTTTTTGTTTTTTTTTTAATTTCTAGGTTTTTATTGACATGTAAAAACATGCAATTATTACTCGTATTTAGCTAGAGAAAGAATGTCTTAAAAATCTGTTTTCCATTTTCAAAAGTGTTCTAAAACTTCATTTCTACATTGTTTATCATATATCAAGCGTCATGAAGAAATTAAAAAGGAAAATATTTACATCATTTGAAAACGTCAAGATTTTTACTCCTTGGTCAGAAACAAAAGAAACTGGTATTAGCAAATCAAACAAGATAATGTAGATAGAGACCTTAATTCGTCTCCACTGTGTCGTAGCTATACTCAATGCTAACGCCTAACGTGACACATAAATTTAATTCTGGAGGTGTCTAAATGATCATTTTGTAAGTTGGAGTGCGTTCAACTGACACTGTAAAGACAGGTTAAAGTGTTTGGATACACATCCTCAAAATTGTGGGGTGTTTAATTAGTTGTTAGTTGAGGCTATTGAAGAGTGAAACCATCATCTCATCTAAAAACTTAAGCTATTAGAGATAGCAAACGTTTATTATTTTGGTGTATTTAATTTCCACATGCCCCATCACGCACATGCCTAAATTTTTTTTACGAGTTAAGCACATGAAAGTTTTTACGACTCGTTTTGATCCATTTGCTTGAAAAAAATGCCTTTAGGCTTCGGTCTCAAACTTTTTGCTTGCACTTAAAAATGGAAGCGAGGATGGAGTAATGAAGAAAAAATTACATAGATGAAAATAGAAACCTTATCAATAACATGAACATCCAAATAATCAATCAATGATTACTAAAATTTCATGATAGTGATTAGTGGGTGATTAGTGGTGAAGTGAATGGATAACTAAAATTAAAATAACCAATCATCGATTACTAAGATTTTCCATATTACGAGTTAATTAAGCACGTGAAAAATCTTTTTGATAGTAGATAACGGTGAGATTCAATTTCAGGACTTCTATCTGCTCTGATATCACATTGAAATGTGTGTACACTTTAGATGAGATAATCACACTGCACGTCTTAGATATATTGTCCTACTATGTATATATGGTCCACATACTACAAGCTTAAGTTTTCTTCGCGCGCAGAGGCCAAATTAAATTTGTCTATGTATTATGCTTTTAATGCGGATCGCATGCATGTATAGTCCGCAAAGTACGATGCAATTAACAGTAAAGTAAATAAGTAACGTCAAGGCTTTTTTTTTTTTTTTTACCCTCCCTAGGAGCTCCCACCCCTTTTGCTCCTTTGGTGACTCGATCTCGCAACCTTCGGGTTGGAAGTGAGGGGGTGCTTACTATCCGAGCAACTCCCTCTCGTAACGTCAAGGCAAATAGTGATTCGATGTTGATTATTTCCAATAATTGAATAAATACACAGCTAGAGTATCTTCGGAAGATAGTGCAAAATCAAATAATTTCTTTGTCATTAATGCCAAAGTAGTTCGATGTCATTTTCAAATAAATGGAGCCTATCATATGTATAACTCAGACAAAACTTTATTTTCCCTCCAAGCAGTCCATGTCCATGCCTTTTTGGACTTCACTTTGGAGCTTCTTTCAACTAAATGAATTTAACTAGTGCCCGTAAAAAATTTAGAGTAGCATTTTTGTTTATGTGCATATTAATTTATTGTCACTAAGAGGTCGTTTGATTGGGAATAAGTTATCCTGAGATATAGTATATCTCAGGATAAGTTATCACGCTATATATATATATATATGAGATAACTTATCATGCACATCACTAAAGTATAAATGATGGGATAAATAGTTTCATGACTATTTAATTCTTCCAACCAAACGCAGAATAAAATAATCCTACATTTTCTGAGATTATTATATATTATTCCTCACACCAAACAGACTCCTAAAAGTTATTTTTGTTGTTGTAAATTAATACTTGAAAAAAATGTGTTTTAGGTTTCTGATGACTCAAGATTTTTGCTTGCACTTAATTATATTTGAAAGAGAGGTGGGAGAAATTAAGAAAGAATTAGAAGGTGAAAGTGAATGGATATACTGTTAAGGATATTAAGATTTTGTTATATAACTTGATCATTCAAATTCATTAAAATAATTATGAAATTCAAAAATAAACACATTTTATGATTAAAGTTCAGAACTAAAAAAAAAAAAATACGCTTTAATAGCTAAAATTTGAATAAATAAAATTCAATTTTTTATTAAGTGCAAAAAATAATGTATTGTTTCTTTTTGCTCCTCATTTCTCCGTTTTTGATAGCTCACCGACCTCATCGTCTTACCTTTTTGTCTCATTCATCAAGACATCCTTTTCTATCTTTCGATTTCATTGACAATGCCAACTACTTCTTTAGTTTTCATTTATTTGTCTAATTTTAATTTGTCACAGAATCTAAAAAAGTAAAAAAAGATTTTTGATCAATCGTATAGTCTTAAATTAAAGATATGTATTAAGTATCGAAATATCATTTATTCATATGATCTTAAGCATGTCATGTGGAAAATAAAAACTAAAGTGTAGTGAAAAATAGAAAAAAGTATTCTTTTTGAACGGACTAAAAAGATAAAAGAAAAAAATTAAAATGGAAAGAATATAAGTTGGCTAAGATACTACTGGGTAAACACAATTCCTGGTTGAAAAATATTTTGGAGATTGTTGTTTGGCCAACAACCAGCAGTCAAATGAAAAAACCAAGAGAAGGATATTTTATGTCAAGACGCAGAATCTAGACCTTCTGAGAATTTTTATTTAAAAATTAATGATAGGTCATAGAAATTTGAAATTTAGTGTTAGGTCATAAAAATGATCCCAAAATTAGTGTAAGGTCATACAAGAATTTGAAGTTATGTTTGAAAAACATTCGAAACTTCGTTCACTTTTATAAAAAAAAAATCTTTATCAAATTTACCATACAGAAATTATTTTTATAAAATAACCTCATTTCAATTGTATTTTATATGATTAAACACAATTTTAATTTCAACTTTAAAATTTTCAAATAAAATGAAAAATATTTCATTTTCATGGTGTACAAACTAAATAAAGTTTTTAAAGATCTTCAATAAACTACATTACTCAAATCAAGTATTAGAAGAAACTTCACTTCCTTAAGTCCATCTTCTCCCCTACCCTCTCATTTGTATTTATGTAGTCTCTATTTATGTAATACATTTCTTTAATCCATAAAGAATTATATCTCTAGAAATTATTTTATTTTATTTTGAATAAGATCATTTATAATTAGTGATGAATGTAGAATACGATTTATAGAAATTTTATCCTTGTTTTCAAAACATTGTTTGATTATACATTGGACTGATTTGTTAAAAAGATTGAAGATGAGTTTCTTGAAGTAAAATCCTTTTGCTCACAATTTCAACTTTTGTTTTTCATGTTAAACACATGTTCAAATATTTTTAAATATCCCTTTTCTACTTAATTTCAATTCAAATACTACTCTATTTTTCTTTTTATTTCAAATTTCACACTTTTTATGTCCAAATACCTATTTAACAAGACAAATAGAATGAAAATATCAGCTATCAAGTAATACCAATCTAACATGGCTTCTGAACAATTTAACAAGATACGTAGTATGACAATAGTACCAAATCATACCAATCCACACGACTTGTGAACAATTGATTAGATAGGTAGAATAAGAATAATATCAAGTCATATCGAGTCAGCATGACTAGTAAACAATTTAACAAGATAGGTAGAATGAAGATACTACCAAATCATACCAATCCGCCATGACTTATAAACAATTGTGTTGTCAAAGGTGCGTTCAAAGCACACTTATTACTCGCTTGGTAGAGTGTATAAAAATAGTACTAAATAAAGTGTATTAGTAGTGTTTGCATTAGTAATGCTTGTATTAGTTATACTTGCATTAGTTATACATAGAATATTTTTATGCATTATTTGGTTTGGTGTATTAAGAAAAATATGTATTGTATAAAAATATTTATTTACAAAAGTATCCTCCATAATTATGGTTGAAAAGATGTAAAAGTGTTTTTGAGGGGTAATTGGGTCTTCAATCATGCTAATGCATGTATTAAATTCCTTTGCATTACTAATACCTAGAAATCCATAGTATTAGTAATACACTCCTCAATACACAATAGAGTGTATAACTAATGCTTGCATTAGTTATACATAGCATGAAAAAAGGTATCAAAGAAGGTACCACTAATACACAAAGCTAATGCAAGCATTATTTTTGTCAATACACTCTACCGTAAGCCCTCAAGTGAGGTGCAAACCATGTTGAGTGTTATGGGCACTTTAGTGCCGTCATCAAGGCTCTAAAACATATTTTTTCTTGTCAATATGCGTTATTCTGAAAACATTACACTAAACAATTGATATTTCACTTTATCATAAAAAAAAGTTCAATTTTGTTGTCCATATATTTGTAATTCATGCTTGTGGTTATTAATTTTAGACTACACATACATATTTGTATTTGATTTCTCCATTTGCACCTTTTTCCGATAAAAATCACTCTTTAGTTGCACTTGATAACACTACTAGTACCCAATTTAACAAGATAGGTAGAATGAAGATAGTACCAAGTCATACCGATTTGACATGACGATAGATGTTCCGATACAATTCCAAGGGTAAATGATTGATCTTGGATTTGAAGTTCAAAAGAACGAAGGAAGAGATTCAAAGGGCCTCCCTCACCTTATTATGTATTTACATGCCAACGTTCTTTTAATGTGATTTACTATGCTGCAAAACATTTTTATTTTAATCCTCTTTGGAGCCAAGATGGTCAAATAGCCTAGTGAGTCTGATGCTCATGTTTCTCCAGGAGTTCTTCAACTGTATGTGTTTAGGAAAACATCTATTGGACTTTGTTCTCTTGATCTTGTACCTGCTAAGCTTTAAGAAGTGGGTAATGCAGTAGGTGAAGGAAGCTTAAGCCAAATCCTGCTAATACTATTGCTACCTCCTCCTGAACATTGTGTTGCTATGGTCAATAAGCAGCGTTAAAGTGGTTCTGAATGACCTTGAGGAGGCCACTGTGTAGCACCTGCTCGAAGGATCTGTCATTTTCACTTTTCTAACTTAAAAAGGTCTCTGGACAAAAGCGTGCATTAATGTTAGCTTCTGGAGAATACACGGAGAGGTGGAGGAAATTTTAGTTAAACTTTTTTTCATTAAAGTCAAAATCATTTTCGCACAGATTCCATAAGCTGCTCCGGCACCAGCCCATTTCCACCCCTATTTTTCTAGCATTTTAAGGTGAAATTAATTCTAGCTGGCATTACCTGTAAAATATGTCGACAGTATCAGGGAATTGCTAGTAGTAATACAACTAACACATATTTAATCCTCAATTTGAGCTAAAGACCAGTTACCACGATTAAGTCCTATTCTATTTGAATAGTACTTATAGATCTTAAGAACTTAACAATTCTGATGAAGAGCCCACCAACTCAATAAATGAAGGTGTGACACCAGAAACAACCACTCGTACTAGTTTAGATTCACTCGTAAACATAGACCAATATCAGTACACTCGAATTTAGGAAAGGAAATTAAGGAAAAGGTATATGTCGATGTCAATATCAACATTATGCTACTACAAGTTAAGACTAATGAAGCTAACCTCTCACTCTTCAGTTGGGGATGCCCTGGAAGCCAAGCCTTTGATAATATGCCGGCACTGAAACCTGACAAGTCATTGAAGCTAATATCATTAAGAATAGCACATGTGGACCCTGCCAATGTAACAATACAGTACTGTATTCTCAGCAATGTCCTTCGTCTCAACATTATTTTTTGCCTTAAACCTGAGGTTGAAATAACATAACATGGAAATACCTACGCATATAAAAGGTCATTGCACCTGCTGCCCTAATCTAACTGATAATTGCATTGACACTTTTAAGTTATGTTACTCAGACTCTCTAAAAATGTTGCCATACCCGTGTCGGATTCTCCAAAAATGCAAAACTTTTGGAGTATCCGACACACAACGTCAACATTTTTGAAGAGTTCGAGCAACATAGCTTTTAAGGATCCCCAGTAGTTCGGAAATGTCAATTTGACAAACATTATATAGGAATCAGGAAAGGATAAAAGGAATGCTTAATCCCCATCTAGTGGTTAAACTAGGACACCAGACAGCGTATAACATTTGGGTCACAAATTAATTCAAACCAAAACAATAAAGATGGCAACAAAAAGCATCATTAGCCAATAGATCATCTCATGAGGAAGTATATTTAATACTGATTCATAAAATAAAATTGGTACAGCTGTAGTGCTTCCTCGTGGTACTGCTAACAGGAAAGTCAGTCTATAGCGAAAAAACTTATTACATCTCTATGACCTTATGTACTATGCTAGTGAAATCATTAGCTTGATCAAGATAGATCCAAGCCTCCCTCTATGTCTCTCCTAGGCTTTTAGACAGGATATTTTAAGCACTCCATACCTTGATTGCCTACGTTTCCTTTCTTCTCCTGTAGCATCTTGTGTGTTGTGGTTCTCTTCTTTTGTTCTTTGGAGTTACGGTATAGTGTGGGTTCTTGCCTTTTGATTATATTTTTATTTAGTTAGTAGTTGTCTTAATTTTAGACTTTTTTGGGTGGCTTTGGTGAAAAATGATAGATTAGGGTCATGTCCAAGGTCGAGGGCGAGGGGTTGGAGTGGTAAGACGTGTGTCCAGAAAACTAAGTGGGTACCAAGGCCCGGAATGTGGATGGGTTTAAGTTAAGGTACTCAGGAGGCTCGAGGGATAGGAATGAAGTAGGCATCTTAGTAGATGGGGACCTTAGGGAGCAAGTGGTGGAGGTTAGGAGGATTAATGACAGGATGATGATGATGATTAAGCTAGTCGTCGGAGGGCTTACTTTGAATATTATTATTTATTAGTGCTTATGCCCCACATGTGGACTTGGATGAGGATATCAAGAAGCACTTTTGGGAGGATTTGGACGAGATAGTGAGGGGTATACCGCACATCGAGAAGATATTCATTGGCAAAGATTTCAATGGCCACATTGGGGCAACCTATAGTGGCTTTGACGATGTGCATGGAGACTTTGGTTCGGTGACAGATTCGGAGGTAGAAACTCGCTCCTGGATTTTGCTAAAGCTTTTGAGTTGGTGATCTAACTCGTGCTTCCCAAAGGAGGATCACTTGGTTACCTTCCGTAGCGCGGCGGCTAAAACTCAAATAGATTACTTGCTCTTGAGGAAAGGCGATAGAGGCTTTTGAAAGAACTACAGGGTTATCCCATGTGAGAATCTTACTACCTAACATAAGCTTTTGGTAATATACTTGGAGATTCAATGATGGAGGAGGAATAAGAATCTATATGACCAACCAAGGATTAAATTGGGTGGCTTGACCCCTGCCCTCGCCTAAAGATATAGGGGAGAAGTTGATGGTGATGATGGCTTGGAAGAGTAGTGGGGATGTGGAAAGTATGTGGGATATGACAGTTAGTTGCATTAGGGAAGCAGCTAGAGAGATTCTAGGGGTGTCAAGGGTAACATTGGTAGTCATCGAGGGGATTGGTGGCGGAATGGAGAAGTACAAGGCTAAGTGGAAGCAAAGAAGACAGTCTACGCAAAGTTGGTGGAATGCAGGGAGGAGGATGAGAAGCAGATGAATAAGGAAATGTATAAGGCGGCGAAGACAGAGACTAAGTTAGCGGTTACAACAGCAAAGACGACAGCCTTCAAACGGTTGTATTTGGAGGTAAGAGACAAAGACCGAAATAAGAAATTGTACAGGACCGCGAAAGCAAGAGAGAGGAAGGCTCGAGACCTGAATCAAATACACTTAGGATGAGGAAGGCAAGGTGTTAGCAAAAGAGACTCTCATTAAGCAAATGATGGCAAACCTACTTCCACAAACTTTTGAACAAAGAAGGGGACAAAAACATTATGATGGGTAATTTGGAGCACTCCACGAAACATCGGAATTTTGGATACTATAGGCAGATTTAGGTTGAAGAGGTTAAGCGTGCTATTATCCGGATGAGCAGGGGAAAAGCGACCAGATATGATGAGATTCCGGTGAAGTTTTGGAAGAGCACGGATGGGGTAGGTATGGAGTGGTCAAATGGTTTGTTTAGTGTGATTTTTAAGATGAGTACAAGAACAAAGGTGATATCCAAAATTGTAACAATTACATGGGTATCAAGTTGTTAAGCCATATTATGAAAGTTTGGGAGAGAGTGGTGGAGTTGAGAGAGCAGAGGGGTGTGTCCATTTTTGAGAACCAATCTGGATTCATGCCGAGGCAATCGACTACAGAACCAATCCATCTTGTAAGGAGATTGGTGGAGAGATATCGGGAAAAGAAGAGGGACCTATATATAGTGTTTATTGTCCTAAAAAAGGCCTACGACAAAGTCATGAGGGACGTCTTCTGGAGATGCTTGAAAGCTAGAGGGGTACCGGTGGCTAACACTAGGACGATAAAGGACATGTATGTTGGAGCTAAGACTCGAGTAAGAACGGTGGGAGGAGACTCAGAGCACTTTCTAGTGGAGATAGGATTACACCGGGGGTCAGCTCTTAGCCCGTTCCTATTTGCCTTGGTGATAGATGAATTGACACGGTCCATTCACAATGAGGTGCCTTGGGGTATGTTAATTGCTAATGACATAATACTAATTGATGAGACGTGCAACGGAGTTAACGTTAGGTTGAAGATGTGGAGATAAACGTTGAAGTCTAAAGGGTTCATGTTAAGTAACCCAAAACAGAGTATTTGGAGTGCAAATTTGGTGAGTCAATGCAAGAGGCAACTGTGAAAGTGAGGCTTGACACTTAGGCTATCCCCAAGAAAGATAGTTTCAAGTACCTGGGCTCTATAATTCAGGGAAGTGAGAACATCAATGATAATATCACATCGTATTGTTACAACGTGGATGAAGTAGACTTGTACCCGGAGCCTTGTGTGATAAAAAAGTATCACCGAAACTTAAAGGTATATTTAATAAAATGGGGGAGAGTGCTTGCCAACTAAGAACTCCCATGTTCAAAATATGCATGCCACAGAAATGAGGATGTTGAGGTAGATGCGCGGGCATACAAGGAGCGATAAGATTAGAAATGAAGATATTTGAAATTAGGTGGGATTGGCCTTTGTAGTGGACAAGATGATGGAAGCGAGATTGAGATGGTTTAGACATGTAAAGAGGAGATCTACAAATGCCCAATGAAGAGGTGCGAGAGGTTAGTTATAGTAGGTACGAGAAGAGGTAGAGGTAGACCAAAAAAGTATTAGAGAAAGGTGATTAGACAAGACATGGCTCAACTTCCGGTTACGAAGGACATGACCTTATATAGAAGAGTGTAGAGGACGTGTATTGGGGTAGAAGGTTAGTAGGCAGTAGAGTGTTGTCTTGCTTTCTGATGGTTTAGATGTTTGCCGTCGTACTAGTTATAATATTGTAGTTGGTTGTTTAATGTATTTTGATTGTCGCACTATTTTGTTGTTCTTGTTCCTTTCTTGCAGGATATGCACTGCTTTTCTTGTAAGTTGCTATGTTTTTTCCTAACTGTTTTCTTACTCCTTTGTACTTGGATTTGCTACACTTGAGCCGAGGGTCTCTCAGAAACAAAATCTCTACCTCCACGAGGTAGTGGTAAGGTTTCCGTACTCTCTACCCTCCCAAAACCCCACTTGTGGGGTTCCACTGGATATGTTCTTGTTGTTGCTGTATACCTTGGCTATCACTAGCTAGCTAGAGGGAAAAAGTCAAAAACTCAAATCTCATCGCAATGATGCAGGTCAAAATAAAAAGGTGAAATGCTAAACCAAAGTTCTCACCAACTTGAAGGTTCGTATCAAATAGTGCTCAACTTAATAATAATATTTTAACTATCATTTTAGTTAGAGCTACAATGAGAGCCATCATAAGTTCTATGGTTTACTAAATTTCAATATGAACGACAATCTGCGTAGCAAACAGTGAAACTGAAATCTTAGTGCTGAGGGTTGAGAAAACTCTTTCCGGATTTATCAAAACAAAAAACATATTGAGAAAAAGGTTGAATTTTTGCTTTTCTAGGCAGATTCCTGTCTAGCAATGTCAATGGAAACTGGAAAGAATAGACTAAGAAAATATTTATCATCATAATCAACAAAAAAAGGACAAAAATTACAGAGTTATCATATCTAGAAAATTGGAAGTACCAGATAACATCATCGACATTAGAACTATGTGATGTGATTGCTTTAGTAGGGTGAGTATCATCAGCACACGCTTCTCTTTCAAGATTTTTGGTTCGACAACTGAACCGCACTTTGAAAGGCACTATCTGCACCATAACATGCAAATTGCTTGTGAGGCAAAACATATATAGAAGTAAGATAGATCAATATTGTGATGCTCATAATTATAAGGTTCTGGAGAGTGAAGTTAGAAGTATGATGACTCTCAAAGGATAATTATTTATCATTAAGGGGTCGTTTCGTGTGAAGGATAATACCAAATAGTCATGGGATTAAATTATAGTATCACTTAATTTGTTGTTTGGTTGGCAAGTCCGGGATAACTTATCCCGGGATTAATAATTAGTACCGGGATAAGTTATCCCTCCCCTTGGGTGGTATAGTAACCCCGGCATAACTTATCCCGGGATAAAATAAGTAAATGACAAAAATGTCTCTTTCAACCCTTTTGTTACATCTCTTTTTACATTCATGAAGGGCATTTTTGTAAACAAATAAATTGTTCTTAAAATTTATTATTTTGAATACAACAAACCAAACACTCAATAAAAAATAAATCCCATCATAACTTATCCCATCATAACTAATCCCATCATAATTTATCCCATCATAACTTGAATTCAAACCAAACGACCCCTTAGAGTTAAAAGGAGCTTCAAGGTCCATCATCTCATTTACATCAGATCTAGGTCCAGATACTGATTCAAATTTTGCGAGATGCATACAAACAAGATGAAGTGAGGAAGAGAAGGGATGTAAAAACAATCAACCAGCACTATCATTGCTAGGCAAAGAAAGTTATGGGAAAAAGGGGAGATATGGGAAGGAGCTTCTACGTAAAGCATCAGCTTACGAAAGATTTCATTCTCATCATATCGATATTACAGCAGCTTGATGACAATAAATGATTGACTAGCACAGCTGGACCAGCTAATAATGACATTTTTTGACTGCCATAAAGAATGCTAACCAGGAGAATATGCATCTGAATAACCGAATTCCGATAATTTAGAAATCATAGGGACAACCTATGGGAATTTACCTTTTTGCTGTACCTAAAATCCCTCTTTGGAAGAAAATGCAGATGCAAGTTAATTGACGAAGGAGCTTCAACGAAGAGGAACAACTTGGTAGGACCTAAAAGGATACGAGAATTAACAATGAATGGCCATAAATTATACCTTTTATGTATAACATATATCTAATGGATAGTAATTTCCAATAAATACCAGCAGAGGAGCTAGATCCTGCACCCTTTGAAACTAAGACACGGATGGCCTGTGTAAAAACAGAAACCCAAAATTTATGCAGACAAGATATATACAGATATATCTATATAGAAATGTGAGATGCAACATAAATAAACAAACGAAGAAACCTTCTTTGAAAGAGTTTCCGCAACTCGATTCCTAGTAAATTCTCCTCCAGAAGCTGCCGTTTTACACGAAAAGTTGAGTTCATACACATTAAGAGGGCGCAGGGGACTGGACCCAAGAATCAGAATAACCCTTTGAATGGCAGGAAATTCTGTGATCATTAATTGAAGAGCAGTCCTGAGACTGGATATAGTGTTCATTAACTTCTCCAGTCTCCTTATTCCCATCCTCACCTCCCTCTTCCTGGAAGCATGATTTCTACGTAAAGAACATGTTTCCGCTTGTACAATAGCTGTCTCCTAGAAAAAGTCAGAACTAGGTCATACCAAGCCTAAAGATATGAGTACTGTAAAGGATGCTTAAAGAAAATAGCAATGGCTTCAGAAGCAAGTAACATGTCTCTTTCCTTAAGACTAATTTTGCTTCTACCATTTTTAACCTGAAACCTAATTACATTATACACAAACAAAATTAGAGTTCTAAACATTCATTAAGAAAAGCAAAGTATCTAATCATACATATCAAACACCATAGTTGTTCATAATATACTTCAAAACTTGAAATAAGTAGTTAAGTTTGGTTTTGATTTATCAAAAGAAGATACTCACTCTGTTCATTTTTATTTGTCCATTGTTTCAAAAATAGATTTTCACTTTTACTTGTCACTTTTAACATATCAAAAAATGACAATTATTTTTTCTTATTTTACTCTGAACATTAATTACTTATTTTCCAAACCTACAACTTGCATCAATTAATATGGATATTGTGGTAAAATACTTATACTAATCATCGTTTTCTATCTAAAGTGGACAAATTAAAGTGATCGGAGGGAGTATAAGTTAATTTAGTTTTTGATTTACTACATCATCTTACCGTAAATTTAATATGGGATTTTGAATATCAAAATCTCACTCCATAGAAAGCAAGGTGCCTTTACATTAAGCCTTGTGACTATTTTTGAAAATAAGGCAGCATACTTGTAAAAGTACATGAGCCATATGAAATGATAAAATCTCCAATATAAGTCCCAAAGTCAAAAGTGCCACATAACAGTAGCACAAATGCTAGTTTTCACTTACCAATTCCGCAAATTCAGTGTTCAATTCATCAAATTCAAGAGTGAGATCCTGCAGTAAGCTGCGCAATCAAACAAAATACAGAAAGAGGATCAGTTAAAGCAAGCAAACAACAAAAAAGTATAAACAAAAATCAAATTAGGAAAACAGCGAGAAATTATATACTTACGAAGGGATTTGCTGGTGCATAAAGAGGACGAAACCTAATATATCAGTAACAAGATGAAATTTGATAGAGCTATCGAGAGTATCTGAGGCTGTTTCAATGACCGTGAAATCTGTTTCCCCTTCTCCTTTTTCTTCCATCTCTAAGGCCTCTGTATGTGCAGAATACGAAGCTCTATTGCAAATTCAAATTAACATTTTTAGCGCGCTGGTTTGGGTTTGGGTTTGGGTTTGGGCTCCGATCTATTTCCCTCTTCCCTTTATTATATGCTACTCACGAGAGATAAACGTTACTCACAAAATATTTATATTGGTTTGTCAAGAATTATATCTTTTAAAACTAATGCCTAGGACAAATAAAAAGTTCAAATAACAAAATATCTTGTGTAAATAGTACTACTATTTAGCTCGTTAGAATAATACTCTTATCTTATAGTATTTGATTGAGATAAAATCGTGGAATAACTTATTTTGAAATTATAGTGTTATTTTTATCTCAAGAATGGAATAATAATCATAAGATAACTAATTTTGAGATAAATAATTATAATTTGTTTCCCAACCAAATGAATCCTTTGAAGTCATTTGGACATTAGAACTATTCTTTTTTTTTTCTAGAATAATTTTTTTTTTTTTTTAAGTTTGGAAAGCTGCTCATGACTTGTTTTCTAGCTCAATCTTCATAAATTGTATTTCTCCTTTACATATATAACCAATCACAGCTCCAACTTCATAAATTTCAAATAAAGCAAAATATATTTAAAACCTATAGGCAAAAATGCCTTCTAACAATTGTTAAAACTCATTGAACATAGAAGATTTGAATGTGACTGGACATTTGATTCATCAACTAACCGTTGTCTAACCTTTTTAACTCGAAATTCGAAAATAGTTCTTTCCTTCCTTTTGTTCTGAATGAATTTGGGGAAGAATGGAAATCTTCTGGAGGAAACTACATCATTGCAATGTTTTTAGCTCCATTAAATAGAGAGAAAAGAAAGGAACATTTTCGTACAGACTAGTCCTCATCGCGTAAATATGGATAAAAATTCACACTGATACACACGTTTCAACAAACACAAGCAGATTGTAAACATAACCTTTCAAAAATAAAGCAAAATCACATCCTCTTTTGCATGCCAAGAGAAGAATAGACTTGCTTCATGCCCATAACTTGGCCATCTACAGTATTTTTGAAAAAATGTAATTATATACATGGTGAACATGCGTATTCTGCAGGTATCTTGAACTCTATTAATGCTCAGACAGCACTTCATCAGTTTGTGGCAACATTGGAACGTAAGAAAGCCAAACGATGATGCTATGTGAACAAATCGATAAACCATCCGTGTCATGCTTGTCTTTGTCTAAATTCAGCTATTTCATGCTAGTCATCCTGTATCCTGGAAACACAATTTCAGGAAGCAGATGATTTGTGTTGTCATCAGCAAAATTTCGAAAATTGCATGTAGAAGTCCAACTAATTTGTGAAGCTAGTGGGTTGAATGATTTTTCTGTTTCATGGATCATTGAACTCTATATATTATTATTATGCAGTTACTAAACATCCTGCAAAAACTCATCTAATTGTATATGACACAACTAAAGTGTGATAAAGAGAAATAAAAGGAAGAAGGATAAGATGGTTTCTCTGTCAGCCAAAGGATGGGTTATTACTTGCTATGTATGGAAAATGTGTCTTGACCGAGAAGAGTTGGCTGATAGTGACATCTTCAATCTTCCAAGTTTTAAAAGTTGACTGGTAGTTAAGATTTCACTCAAGAACATCCTAGACTATGCAAAATATTCTCAGCACCAATGATGCAAGCAAGAACTGAATCCCATTTACTGCGCAAACACCAAGTAATGTATGAGAGAAGTCATAAGGTATAGATCATGTACTATGTATGACACCATAGATATACCTCGAATAGAGCCATACTCCAATCTCATACACCATAACGCTTCAAAGCCATACTTAGACTTGGCATTACATTATATGCTTGATAAGATCTTCTCAATTCAATAATCGAACCTACCTGCAGCAGAAGGCAGGAAGAAGAAATATTTCAGTACGACATATGAAAGACAATGACCATTCTACTACATTCCCAGGAGTATAATAGCAGTGATTTCTACTAGGTTGATAAAAATTACCAGACAACCTCAGAAAAACTACTTATCTTTAATCTGAGTTTGTTCTCTACCTGAAACACTTTGCCTATTTAAGTTAACGGGTTAATTACATATTACCTCCTTGTGGTTTCAGTTGCAGTTAACTTCCTTCGTCATATGGAATAGATATCCCCTCATTGTGGACTCAAAAATCATGTGAATTACCTCATTACCGTTAAACCATATTTCCCACTACTATTAATCCTTTGAAACAGTAGTAAAATTTCATATTTGCCTTGTTAAACTTATAATAATCTACCAAGCAACCCCACAATATAAATACATTACTTTATGACATTGCAATGGACAGAGGATTAAATTTTCGCCTGATGCAAGGCGAGGTCACAGCCCTCTGAAAGATGAGGGAATGGATTCCCTGCTATTTACAATATAGCTTTACAACATGATGCATGTAAACCAGAATATAAAGCAGATAACTACAAGAACATTCTGCATATATATCAAAATGTAGAGCAGGTAACTACAGGTACATCCCTCTTAGAAGAAATTGACAAGACTAGGAGATTGACAGTGATACAATCCTGGATAGCCCACACAGCATAGAGACAATTACTGTTTGAGGAGTTGAATTCATACCACATATATATAGTATCATGGAGGGTTAAAATAGGGCTAAGAAGATATTTGGAGGACCAGAGACGATTGTTGCACAGTTGGCTCAGGATCAATTCATGAAGTACCAGTCATATTAAAAAGAAAAAATGGACTTGGGGTGTGAATTGGGAGAACTTACGACTGACTGAATATTGATCCAACTCTCTTTTAGAGCAGTCCAACTGGAGGTATATGCCAATGCTGGACAATTGATGAAACATTTAACTTATCCAAGGAACAAGAAGAGACCAATTTCAAGTGCATAATGAGGGTGTCCAACAACTTATTGGTTGCTTAAAAGAGAATGAGGAATCCATTAAAAGATAACACCAGTCATTTTCCTTCTTCAATTAGTTCCTGGATAGAATAAGATGTGTAGAAGCAAGAGATGTTTGCTTATCAAATCGGCTTGAAACAGATTAAGTCAAGGCACCTGCATCATGCTCTTTTTGGGGTTAGAGAGCCTAACTAGTGGGGGAGCGAGGGAGATTTGTGTGTGTTCGGAAAGCAACTATTCATGCATGAAAACCATGAACTTACAATCACTAGTACTGATGTCAAAAAGATAAGTTAAGGTATCCACATCACATTCTTTTTGTTCCTCTTTTTTCATTTGCTTTTCCCTGAACCTTTGGGTAGAGAGCCCATTGGCAGGAGGGAGAGGAACTCGTGTGTGCTCCGAAAGAAACTATGCATGCCTGAAAACCCATGAACTTACAATTATTAGCACTGATGTCAATCCTATTGCATATCCTTCATTGATGCGCCGCAAATAATGGTCTAGAATGGTGGATGTGGTGGCCAAAACACTTAATAACAGACCACCTACACAACAATCCAATAAAATAAAAAAGAAAAGAGAAGTACCATCTGTTAGTGAATTGCACAAACAAGAAATATAGGTTTAGAGAGAGAGAGAAGATATGTACCCCAGAACCGCGTTGAAGCTTGAATCTTTGTCAAATATGCAATTGTGGCTTTTCCAGGTTTTATACTCGGAATTCTAGCACCTATCTTGTTTAAGTAATCAGCAATTTCTTTTGGCATGTTCGCCTGGTCAGAAGTTTACCGTTAAGTAAAACTGAGCAAGAGAGAATATCCCTAAAAACCTTTCAAAAACTTTTCTTTCTTCAAGTGACAGAAGCATAGAAATTGATATGAGATTGACATCAGATAATCAGTTTTTAATAACTTTTCTAAGTGACTTCCATCTTTCCTAAAATGACTACTCTTTCTCCCACTACTATTACTCAGAGAAACCTCAGCGTTATGTGGTCTTCTATCCTTTTTGACTTCCTGGCTACCTAATTAGTAACCTTAAAAGGTTGATTTCAGTTTCTATTTCCCAACCTCAGCCCTGAACATTGTAAACTCACCAGCAAGTCTGGGTATCTTTTACTTATTTATTCACCTTTACTAGACCAACTGGTATTTTGGGCTTCCCCTAATGACTGGAGTGCTTCAATCCAAGGGAATAGGTAGAAACTTCTCAGTCCAGAAACATCCTTGTTAAAAAGGACCTAGTGTATTGAATTGATTCCATTGATGTTCTATCCACTCCAATTGAACAGCAATCTTCAAGGAAAAAATATTTTGTGCATGTGACATTTTAAAATCTACTTTCTACATGCTACGTTAATGGCAACTTACAATGTCAAATATGTTGAAGAGGAAGACAAAGAAAGCATAAACTGTATAGTAAACCCATGGATCTGCGCCATGTGAAGTGTCAGGATTCAAAGCGTCTCTAATGTGTTCCCAAAACCTTGAACCAAGAAGACTGCCAAAGGAACTATGTGTCAGAAATCTGTAGCTGAAAACCTCAAAAAACTGATGTCAACTGAAGCTCAGGTACAATGATGGCTCCATATCACTGATGTAGGTAAGATCCAACTTCTAAAACATTGGTAAAGAACCACTGAAGTTTTATATTTTATACGCAAACAACCACTAAAGTAGTGGTGTGACTGTAATCTAATTTAGTTGAATATAAAGTAACCTTGCAAGAATGCCGGGAAGTGCCAACAGATAAGAGGTAACAAGGATAGGCTGCATTCCTGCTGGATTTATGTTGAATGGGATATAAGGCTCCACTGCTGGAACTAGAGAATCCTCTCTGCTCAAGATGAGTAACTTAAATCAGATGCCAATATATAATATGCTATTCCCAAATGAGTACAATATATCTCTGTATGTAAAAAAAACTTAATTCTACGCTAACTGGCTTCCTAGGCAGTACAAATTGATGTAATTGACTCAATTTAGTACTATGTTTTTGGTGTAATCAGTTATACTCAAATGCTACTATCTCCATAATTGATGTACTAGACTCAATTTAGTAAAAGATAGTAGGATTTGAAGGACATGTTGTAAATATTGACTAGTACAGTCTTAGTACTGTCTTTTGAAAAATATACAAAGTTCCAGTTTCAAAAAAAAAGGTAGTACAAATTTAAGTTGTAACCAAATCCCAAGCCAAATAAAAAATCTAATTCCAACTCAATAATTCAGGTTCTCACAAGTAACAACTGGACAGTTTCTTTCTGTATACGTGAGTGTGAATACTTGTATGAATGTGTGTGTGCATGTGTGTATGTATCCATACTTACATGGCAGGCAGTCGTCAGGCACAAGCCAGACATGTTTTATCATCAATAAAACCAAGGCAAATTCCTTTTTCTTCAGACATGAAATGTCAATTAAGTGAAACAAATAGTTCAATCTTGTCCTAAAAGGCTACAAACTCAAGCAGAGTCACAAACTTTTCCCATTTGGTGGAGAAGTACATGCCTTGAGCATACAAATATATTAATGACAGTGTGCAGTAATATCTTTTATTACTCGCACTCACTTACACATGATCAAGCATGCAAGAGAAAGCAGCTACTTCAGTATTGCATGCACATGAAAGCTTCAATCGAGAGAAGTACAAACATAATGGAGTTTAGATGCATTTATAATTGTCAATGATTGAGCTACTCAATAATTCCTTGATAAGAAATTTCCACTCTACATACAGCTCCAGTTACAGCAGTAGTTAAAATTCCATCATAAGATTTCACTATAGCATTGCCCAGTTCTTAATTTAAGATTCCCTCGTTACTCAAGTAATGTTATATGTCCCCCGAAATCTTAGCTTGTAAAAACATTTACATAAGCATTAAGATACATGTAACTACGCGTATGAAGATTTCACAATACTCCACAAACAGAAAATCTGGCTTCCAATAAAAAGAAAATGCAAAATCAACAGCAATTCAGGGTTCAAGTCACCTTGCACCAGAAGCAACTTTGAAACCATAATACTGCAGCTTAACTTTCCGGCACCCTTCACTCACAACGACAGCCCACATTGTAACGACAGTAAAAACACCTAGTACTGCAAGTACATAAAGCCACCAGTTCCCGCTACTTCCTGTGTATATGTTAAGGAGGAAGGGAACTTTAATCAATAATTTAGAGGGACTGGACTATGCAATCCTTGTATCAAATTATATTGTTATGTTCTGACTATTTCTCGGATCATGACCAAACTCCACCACAACTTTAAAATGGGTTCAGGACAGAAGAAGGGATCGATTCTCGTACATAACATGCTGATATCCTTACCAATAGAGTACAATGATCAGAAAGAATTAAAAAGCTACAGTATCTCATTTGTAACCCACCTGATATTTGAGTTAACATTTTCTGCAATGTATCTGTGTAGCCAGTCAAAATGCCCACACAAATAATCAAAGTTGATCCTTGACCTGAACCATCCATTAGTCGTCAGCAAACATGAAAAGGGTCGCAGGAAATAAAAAAGGAAGTACTAACCAAATTTATCATTCAGTTATAACTTACATCAATCAATGGACTAAATTCCCTTACCAAATTAATTCGGGTCAGCTAATTTTCAGCCAGTTACATAATTCCTCAAATACATCAATAAATCAAGCAAGTATCCAAGCCAAATTGGGGTCAACCAATTTTAGTCAATTACATAATTCTTCAAAACTCTTACAATCTCGGGTTCGAGCAGAAGAATTATAATAGGACTGCCACAAGTATGCCATAACAACTTCAACAGCCAGTGATACTAACTTTCATCAGAAATAAAAAGAGTCATCATGTCACTAGTTTACATTCCTTATGTTTCAATCAAACGGGCCTAGTTTTCTTTTTGGTCACAAAACGCAATCCACGTCCCTAAAGTTAAGTTTAAACACAATTGGCGAAACTCAAAAGGTCGTTGACCATTTGTTTGAACTCTTCCCTAAGCAACTCCGTTTCTATTCTTTTTTTGGAGGGACAAGGATCTTTGTCTTTAACAGACTAACAGGAAAAAGCCTAAAATTGGGGAAAACAAGTTGAATTAGAATTCTAAGAGATGTTTACAAAGGAAGTAAGAAAAGAAAATTAAGATACAGAAAGAAGCACGGAAGGAAATAAATACCAAATCCAGACTCGGTTATTTTGTCGCAGATCCATGACATAGTCATTGCACCAGAAACTAAAAGGGACATAGTCATCAACACATGCTTAACCCTGCAACGAAATGAAGGTCATTCTGAGTGGTACTAATTTCGGCCAACATCATGCAAATAATACATCAACAGCATGAGAAAAAACTTTGACCTAAACAACTGGGGATGAGGAACAATAATTTACAAACCCTCTCAACTGTGAAAGATGTAAATATATCCAACCTAGCCATAACTCTATTGCCTGTCTCATTAATTAGTACTATGTCATTCACAAATAGCATACAGAGTGGTGGCTAGACCGATTTTGTTGGGGCAGAGTGCTGGCCAATCAAGAACTTCCATTTTTGAAAGATGGAAGTTGCGGAAATGAGGATGCTGAGATGGATGTGTGGACACACTAGAAGAGATAAGATTAGCAATGAGGATATTCGGGACAAGGTGGGAGTGGCCTTCGTGGTGGACAAGATGAGGGAAGAAAGACTGAGATCGTTTGGACATGTGAAGAAGAGATGCATAGATGCCCAGTGAGGAGGTGCGAGAGGTTGAATATAGTGGGTACAAGGAGAGGTAGAGGTAAGCTGAAAAAGCACCGAGGAGAGGTGATTAGACATGACATAACACAGCTCCAGATTACTGAGGATATGACCTTAGATAGGAGGGTGTGGAGGTCACGTATTAGGGTAGAATGTTAGTAGATATGAAGTGTTGTCTTGCTTTTCAAGGGGTTAAGCCATATTCTTATAATATCTTGCTTTGATTCCATCATCGACGGTTGTTTATTGTGTTTAGGTTATCGCACTATTATGTGGTCGTCATTGTTTCCTTATTAGTTGCTTTGTTTTCTTCACTGTCGTTTTTCTTTTTTCATACCTACTTTGATATGTGTACTCGAGCCGAGGGTCCTTCGAAAATAGTCTTTTAACCTCCACAAGGTAGGGGTATGGTATGCTATACTCTACCCTCCCCCGACCCCACTTGTGGGATTTCACCGAGTATTCTATTGTTGAGAATGTGGAACAAGAACAATTCTTGCGACCTTTTGGAAGAAATGGAGTTAGAATGATGTTACTGGAAAATGAACTCCCAAATTACACAATAAAAATAATAGTGACCTTTTGTGTAGAATGAAAATGAAAATAGCAAAACTATGCTCCCATTGATTATTACACGAAAAAATTGTACTTCTTACCTATGATTGGCAGCATATATTGAATATGGAAGTGAGTGACAAGAGAGAATAAGAGCTTCCAAAATTGCAAAACCAAGCGAGATCCACCATCTAAAATAGATCCAAAGTTTCATAAGCTTGTGCAAGTTTGTGATGACAAAAAAAAGAAATTGACCACCAAAGTAAAGAAACAACCCATCTCACTTATTGAGATGAAAAACTAGACATACATATAACTTTTGATCTTCTCATGCCCATCTAAGCCCTCTTTTCTCAGCTTCACTAAAGAAGGAAGAACGTGACATAATACCTGTACGGGAAAGTTGGCATTCACTAGTTTAGCACAAAATTGAGGCATTATGCAACAGAAGGATGGATCCAACAATTTCATATGCCTTGGTCTCTCAAACCAGAAGGACACATGAATCAGTTGCTCATTCAGCAACAATATTAATCAACTAAAGAGCAAACACATTTTGTTCCACCTCTATAAAAATCCTTTTAAAGAACTCCTTTTATTTTTAGGAAGATAAAACCCTTCAGTAAAATGGCTAGGCAAATCGACAAAAATGAATAAAAAAGAAATGATGTTGGACGAACGGATAAGGTACTTTTGCAATGGGGCACTCACTAAGTATGATTACCGTTGTTGTTCAAATACCTTTTCTTATTATCTTAAACAGCAAATTTAGCTGTTATTTTCACTTTCTCCAACTCAAATGATAACCTCTCCTTTTTATAGATCCAACTCCGATAATTTTTTTACTTGGTGACTTAGATCCAACTCAGATAATTTCCGCCTCCAGGATCCCTTAAATCTCTTATAGAAATCACTTTGACAGATGCAGATACTGTTTAGGCAATTTTCGCCTGGAATTTCTCCTTCTACTTTTTATACACCAGAATTTCCTAAGGGCAAGTGGCGCACGTATGGGAACTCAACTACATTTTTTCACCTGACATTTGTATAATACATACTACACAGGTAGGTCCACAAAAAGATCTTTGTAATTCACTTTCTGAAGAAATGCTACTCTGGTGGTCCGACACAACAAATATATTTACTTAAGCAAAACATGGAAACAAAAACTTCTTTTCACATAATATGATAAGCCAAATTTTGATATCCTGGTTCGAAAAATTTATATCTGGTGAAAGAAAACTGACCTGCATAAGAATGGATGCCGCTATCTGAGGACTGACCCCAAGTTGGAAAAGAGAAAGTTTAAGTTCTGGAGTGGAATCACCCAGTTGATCTGCAAGGACGGTTTATTAATAATTACATGGGAGGAAACTCCATTCAGCGAGTTTGAAGAACCAATAAGATCAACCAACTTACTTCAAAACTGATCTAAATTAACTAGGAAAATATCGGTCTAGATGAAAAGGCGACTTACCAACTGATTTCGAGACAAAGCTGAGATAGTCTTCTGGAATCAACTTCCTGTCAAATCCTGGAAGAGGAATGAAATATCCTATACGACTAATGACAATTAAGATGGCAGTCACAAACAGCCTTCTCCTTATCTCACTCTTGAAAAAAGACTCAGCAGCATTATCAACGACGGAACCCAGTCTTACAAAGTTCAAGAATCTATTTCTAAATTGCTTCTGCCTAGGCTGCAAGGACACAAATTCGTTGGCATCTGTAGATGTTAGTGACACTCCCTCATCTTCACTCACTGATGAAGACTGTCCATAATGTAGTGTTTCTCCTGATGCTGCCCTGATACTTGTATAGTCGCTTGAAAGTTGATGGGTGAAATAGCTGGGCAATTCTTTCTTTCCATGAGACAATATCAACCCCTTCCGTGAAGAAAAGTGCCTTCTACTCAAGTCAGAAAATTTTAACTTGAGAGGAATGTGTATTCTGTTCAGTGGCAAATTATAGAAATGGAGATTACATCCAGCAAACTTTCCTGCTAGCCAAAAGTAATAAAAAAAGAAGGTTGGTCTTAAATGTGTTTCTACCAGTAAGAGAAACATAGAGCTTGAGTAATAGGATGATGAAGCAAATATATATGCTTTAGGTTTGTTAAGATTGGCACGTAATCCAAGTTATATGTTGCCACATTTTGTATAGGGCAAAAGAGAGTTTTAATATATATACTCCAGTCCAAACTACGCAAAATTCCTAACCAAACTAACAAGTGACAAGTCTAACAATTTCTTTTCCTAGGAAGGTATTAACATAATTACATCCCCTTGTCAACGTGCTTTAATGATAATTGTATTTTTAGGATAACTCCCTCAAGCCAAATAAAGTTATGTCAACTAAGCAGAACCTGGAAAGCTCACTTAAAAAAGAGTAGATCATGAAAGATATCAACTGCTTCGTAATTTACACTGTACATATTGAGTTTCAAAATCTGATCTTGGAGCATTCTAGTGTAAGTACCAAAAATACCCTACTAGAACCATTCCTTCAGTTATGCATCATTCAACTCCAGAAACACAAAGAAGGCCTTACAATTTATCAAACTAAAGTAATAGTAACATCTTTTTAACAGGAAAAACTAGTAATATCTAATTTATTTAAAACCAAAGCTGAAGTGAAAGATAGTTGTCTTATATCAGCAGAGTAAGTTGTGATTGTGAAGAACTTATTTTGTTCTCCAGTTAACCTAGTTCTTTGCTCAGCTCTCTTCATATCTTGTTCAGTTGGAAATGAGTCAACACTGCAGAACACATGATATCGGCCAGCTCTATCAAAACCACATTGATAGGGTAAATAATACTTCTCATCTTTCGTTTCTTCGTTGTTTACTTAGTGTAATTCTAGAATCTCCTGCCCTTCATTGTTTTCTCTTTTGTTTCTATAATTTGTTGAAAGAAGGGAGTGAACTCCTTTATCAATGCTTGTTACAATCTCCCTTCATTACCCACACGCACACGAGAGAGAGAGCAATCAATGTCTCTATCAGAAAATTAACTTAGAAAATCATTCATGTGACACTCATTTCATAATTGAGGAAAACAATACTATGCTAAACAAATAAGTAGACAATAGAATATTAATGGCAAAGCCATTTACTTAATTTTCTTGTAACATTCCGCAGTTTTAACAAAGACTGACCGGTGATTAATTTGAAAACAAATAAGAGCGCAAAAAAGAAGTATACAGACTTGCCTCGAATCCTCAGGTCCGTCGTTGTGGAAACCGGTGTATAAGAGCTGAGAATGGCGGCTTCCATGGCAGAACTTGAATGAAAAGTGCTCTAAACCTTGAGCTCCGAAATCAAAATTGTTCAATCCTTATCGCATAGTTTTTCCAATATAGGATGTCAAATAGTCCACACAAAAAAAGGTAAAGATTAAAATGAAGGGTACAAAACCGGAAAACGGCAATCTTGACAGTCTACAGAAGATCAGTTATGGAACTGAGAGGTAAAAGGAGCTCGACAACTCACTCCAAACACGAAGAAAGAAGCCCTCTCTGGCTTGTATTTTTGTAGAAAGTGAGAGATAGCCGAGCAAGAAAGGTCACAAAGATAGAAGACCGACTGGGGAATAAATATTTGTGTGTGGGTTTTAGGGGTGGGCATAAATAAGGAAAAGAAAAAATATTTGTGTGGGGGTTTTAGGGGTGGGCATAAATAACAGAGAAAAATGAATTGAATCGCACTAATTTAGTTTTTTGACTTTGATTTCAGGTGTTTTTTTTAAAAAAAAAAATTAATTTTTTTATTTGATGTTCAGCGTAAGAATTTTGGTATTTTGGTGCATCAAAGAATCAAACTTTTTAAATTTTAACTAAAAAATTAAAAGTCAATTAGTAGTTATATCATTCATAAACAAATTAGATTAGATTTAATATTCAAATAGTTAAATTCACATAGAAAATCTTTAAAAATATCGAATCAAACCAAATCGAAGTTGAGAAAAATGAATCGAACTAATTCAGTTCGATGTTCGGTGCATATTTTTTTAAATAAAAAATTAAAGAAACGAATTGTAATTTGATTTTAAAAAAATCAAACGAAAATTGAACGCCCATCCATAATATATTTTTCATCCGATATAATTAAGAGAGAACAACCACACCACTACAACACGTTATCTCTTATTTATATGTCAAATGTTATTATAAAAAAAAAAAAATTAAAAATGATACTAGCAAAGAAAAAAGAGAAACAAAAGCAACTGAAAGAGATGGAAATAGGGGAGCATTAACTTTTTCTTCTTTTCGAGTGTATCAAAGTTGTTCGCATAATTCACTTAGACACATTAACTAGGGTAGTACCTATTAAACACTTTTATTGTTCAAAATGAATATCTATTAGACATTTTCGTTGACATGGCAAGGAAGGTGCAATACAAATATATATTTTTTTTGTTTTTTGTTTTTTTTGCAATATATCAAAAGAAGAAAAAAGAACTTAGAAACTAAAGTAAGAAATTTAAACTTCAAACTTTCATATGAATCTTTTGAACTGCTAAAATTAAAAATATGATATCTTAGGGAATCTCCAACCCTATCATCTATTTTATTCTCCAAATACAAAGTTCTCTATTTTTTCAACAATCAACTTCAACTCAATTCTCTATTTTACTCTCTAAAAATGAATTTTTTTCTCTCTCCTCAATATTATATTATTATTTGTATTCCATTCTTATTTTCTTATTTCATAATATAAATCATTTCTTCTTTTTTCAAATAATCACTCTTAATCTTTATGTAATACATAATTTTATTTTATTTTCAAATTCTTCATTTAATATAAAATTATATTTTATTCTAAATGTCTTTACTCTCCAAATATAGAGTTTTCTATTTTTTCAGACAATCAATTTCAACCCAATTCTCTATTTTACTCTCTAAAAATGAATTTTTTTCTCTCTCCTCAATATTATATTATTATTTGTATTCCATTCTTATTTTCTTATTTCATAATATAAATCATTTCTTCTTTTTTCAAATAATCACTCTTAATCTTTATGTAATACATAATTTTATTTTATTTTCAAATTCTTCATTTAATATAAAATTATATTTTATTCTAAATGTCTAAATATCATAAATTGCAATAATATTATATATAATATTTGAGGTGTACAACTACTATGTGGAATTAGTGGGAAGGTAACTGTCGAGAGTCTAATCCATGGCGGATGGGTTTTTTTTAGGAATTGGGCTTCTAAGTACTAGCCCACTATGAAAATCTTGGCATAAATAGTCATTTTCTTCTAAAATATATAGAACCTCTGTTTATATTAAGTAATAAATTGCCAAATATGTAAAGATTTAAAATTTTAATCACTTTATAATCCAACTTTTATACCTGGCCCATTTCCATGGCCATTTCTTTTATAATTTTTGTCTGACTTGACCAAAGTGTGACATGCTATCTCATAAGTATTGTGAGGAAGCGATTGTTGCTCATACGACATGATCGTACGAGGTCGCACCCAATACGATCATTCGAGGTGAACATAAGTCTGAAGTTTCAACTTATAAATATAGTTCAAATTCAGACCTTTCATGAAAGTTAGGCTCTAAGACCATCTCTATTTTACTCTCCATTCTCTGTACTTGGAGAGAAATAGAGAACGAGTTCTCCAATCACTCTTTATTTCACTCTCTATTCTTCAATTATAGAGAGTTGAATAGTAGTTCTCCAAATTTGGAGAACTACTATTCAACTCTCTATAATTGAAGAATAGAGAGTGAAATAAAGAGTGATTGGAGAACTCGTTCTCTATTTCTCTCCAAGTACAGAGAATGGAGAGTAAAATAGAGATGGTCTTAGAGCCTAACTTTCATGAAAGGTCTGAATTTGAACTATATTTATAAGTTGAAACTTCAGACTTATGTTCACCTCGAATGATCGTATTGGGTGCGACCTCGTACGATCATGTCGTATGAGCAACAATCGCTTCCTCACAATACTTATGAGATAGCATGTCACACTTTGGTCAAGTCAGACAAAAATTATAAAAGAAATGGCCATGGAAATGGGCCAGGTATAAAAGTTGGATTATAAAGTGATTAAAATTTTAAATCTTTACATATTTGGCAATTTATTACTTAATATAAACAGAGGTTCTATATATTTTAGAAGAAAATGACTATTTATGCCAAGATTTTCATAGTGGGCTAGTACTTAGAAGCCCAATTCCTAAAAAAAACCCATCCGCCATGGATTAGACTCTCGACAGTTACCTTCCCACTAATTCCACATAGTAGTTGTACACCTCAATCATACATACATCCTCCATTAAAAAGCAACAGAAAACTCCTCCTCCACAGAGGAACAAAATAATAAGTGACTAATATATTTTGATTTGATTCGATTCGATTCCCATTTTGCAGTGTCAAATCTACAATATCTCATTCAAATGCTCGGCGGTTCAATCTCCGGTGGCCGTACTAACGTCCGTGTCGTCGTCGTCGGCGACCGTGCTACTGGCAAATCAAGCCTCATTACAGCTGCCGCTAGTGAAACTTTTCCGGAAGAAGTTCCACCGGTGCTTCCTCCAACTCGACTTCCTGCCGATCTCTATCCTGATAATGTTCCTGTTACGATCATTGATACTTCCTCAAGGTTCGTGTTGTGTATTTTGGAAATTGAATAGTTGATTTGTTATCAAGGTTATAATGTTTCGATGAATTGATGTATGCGATGATGTGTAGTTTGGAGAGCAGAGGTAAGGTTGCTGAAGAATTGAAGCGAGCCGATGCTGTTGTCCTTACCTATGCTTGCGATCAGCCTTCTACACTCAATCGCTTGACTACTTTCTGGCTTTATGAGTTCCGTCGCTTAGAGGTGTCCAATTTTGTGTGCCTTATTGTTATTGTTAATGTAGTTTTGAAAAATATTTTTGTTCATTTTTCTAATTTTTTTTTTTAGATATTTCTGAATCAAACAAAAAAAAATGAATATCTTCCTATTGGAATGGTAAAACACACATTTTAAAATATTGGCCAAAATTTGCTAATTCCTGAAAAGTTTACGTGTTTTTGCTGTAAATGGATTGAATTCTGTATTATTAGGCCTATGTATTCATGAGTTAGTTTTAGTATTGTGGCATTGTAACCTAGAAAGTGTTGTTTGTTTTTTAGTTCATGCAATTATATAGTCGTTCCAGTATCATTGTTATGGAAAGTAATTAAGTGCAATTTTTTTTGGATGGATAATTACTTCTATAGTCTGCATTGAGAAATGAGAATGTGACTTCTATGCATTTAATCACGTGAATTACCATGGTTAGATCAAGGTGCCGGTAATTGTTGTTGGCTGTAAGCTAGATAAGCGAGATGAGGAGCATCATATGAATCTTGAGCAAGTGATGGCTCCAATCATGCAACAGTTCCGTGAGATTGAGACTTGCATAGAATGTTCTGCTGCAAACCTAGTTCAGGTGGGTGCAACTTGTTACTAGGGATTTTTCCTTGCAAAGGTTTTTTAGTTCAACAGAATGATAATTTTTAACCTTTACAGGTACCTGAAGTGTTCTATTATGCTCAGAAAGCTGTACTTCATCCAACAGCTCCACTCTTTGATCATGAAACTCAGGCTCTTAAACCTCGTTGTGTTAGAGCACTGAAACGGATATTTATTCTTTGTGATCATGACATGGATGACGCTCTCAATGATGAAGAGCTTAATGAGTTTCAGGTTATTCTTCATTTTGTAGTCCTCGAGTTTATTAAAACATTCGATTACTTTCTTTCAAGAAACCTTATTCTATAGCATTTTCTGTTTTTTATTTCCATAAAAAATTGGCAGATTAAGTGCTTCAATGCTCCCCTGCAGCCTGCTGAGATAGTGGGTGTCAAAAGAGTAGTACAGGAGAAGCTACCTCAAGGTGTAAATGACCTGGGCCTTACATTGACAGGGTTTCTTTTTCTTCATGCACTTTTTATAGAGAAGGGTCGACTTGAGACCACTTGGACCGTGTTAAGGAAATTTGGGTACAATGATGAAATCAAGCTGAAGGATGATAACCTTACAATACCATTCAAAAAAGCTCCCGATCAGGTGAGACTATTTTTGAAGCAGATGATTATTATGATACTTGTTTCGTGCAAGATATTGTTAGGGTTATAGTCTATGTTGCTTGGACTCTTCAAAAATGTCGAGGGGTGCGTGTCGGATTCGCCAAAAGTAGGGTATTTTTGGAGAATCCGACACGGGTGTGGCATCGAAAGTGAAGAGTCCGTGCAACTTAGGTTATAGTTGGCTGTCTGTGTTTGGAAGAAACTTGGCACTGAGGCTAACAGGAAAAATCATGTCGAATATCAATAATTTGTTGACCTAGTTTGCACAGAGTTTCTGGTTCATGGTGAATCAGCTCCGTTGTTCAGAGTTCCTATGATGGAAAATTATCAAGGATCAGATGATAGGAACCGTCTTTCTCTGTCCCAATGCTGCTTCATTTTTTTTTTCATTTTTCTGAAGGTGTAAGTTGTCTTACACAATATTGTTTGTTACAAGAAAACTCCAGTGGTATACTCATATTTTTCTTGTGGAACGCTGTCTTTCTTTTAGTTCCCTTCTCAATAATGTTTGTCTGCTTGCAGAGTCTGGAACTGACC